TTACCCGACCGACAATTACGTTTCTTTCGTTCCTGGTTTCGCATTCTAGAACAGTGTGCCGAGCGTGACACGTCGTTAAATGTTAGCTTATAAACGTTACATGGAAAAATTCCCATTTACCAAAATTTTTCCCCATTTAAATGATCTTTTCGATATTCAAAAATTTTCTTACGAAACGAAAGTTCTTTCAATAATTACGTTAACAATTTTCAATTATTCGGAATTATCCATTTCAAAGGTTATTCTTTGTTAAATTAACCAACTATATTTCACTTTATTGCATTAGAGTGTGTGTTTCTAAAATTTTATGCAAGCTATAAAATAATGTCTTATTAATATCAATTAGATAGAATTACTTGGATTTTCTTCTGTAAACTTTCTTTAATTTCTTTATAATATAAATAATATATAATATAAATTTCTTTATAAATTTCTTTATAAAATAAATCTTTTCTGTAATTTCTTTATAAAAGAAGAAGAAAATAAAAATGATAACGCTTGTTTAAATCGAAGATTTGAAATTCTCGTGGAACGATTTTCATAAATTGAAATTCAAATCTCGAGCTCTTCGACAAAAAAAGAAGAATAGATATAATGAGAATAAACGAGAAAGATATAGCACGCTGAACAGTGGTGGAATACCTAATGAAATTAAGGCGTCCAGAGAGAAAAATTTAAACTGGAATTATTAAAAAGTTACATAAACAATAAAATAGAAAAAGTGAAAAATAATAAATTCTCAACATAGAATAATTTTTATACAGAAAAAGAAAAAAAAAAAACTTTTCAAATGAACATCGTCCTTTTATCGGAATAAAAGAGTCGAGTGTACATTTCGTCGAGATGAACATCTTTAATCTCGATCTCGATATAGACTCAGAGTTCTTTGACTTACTCCACCCCCGCGAAATTAATTCCAGACTGTTGCTTCCACCAGACTCCGTCGAGGCATGGCATAACTTCGTACTCAAATGGGCCGTTTCATTTATACCAGCGTGCATCGATGGTTTAAACGAGTCACGTTCTGCCAAACGATGTCGCTGGTTAAGGTGGCCACGTCGCTCGATGACTTTTAAATACGGATTAAATCGACGTTTTTATCGTGATTGTTCCTTTTGAGAGGTTAAATCATCCCTCTCTTGGAAAGGGACTCGTTTTGCTCACGACGGGATAAAACTTGCGTTTTGTTATATCTAAAGTCGAGAATCGGAGATGATATTTGAATGTAAATGTATGGAGAGGGGAGTTGCATGTAATTTGTTGATTTTAAAAGTAAAAGAGAATGCTTGAAGCTGCGTTATTTTAGATTTAATTTTCCTAAGAATCAATATAATTTATCGTTTTTATTTTTGATATTTCGTCGATAATGTTTCATTCTGTTATATTTTAAATGAACATGCAATTAGTTGCACGATAAGAAATGTTACTTGCTCATCTTACAAAAGAATATCTAACTATTTCATATTTAGAATGCTATATGCAGTAAAAGATAAAAATTAATTACTTTAAAAGTAAAGAATTTGTTTAATTTGTTTATTATCATTATTATTATTAATAGAAATAATATGAATAAACAATTTATAAATAAATAAATAAATAATTTTTATAAATTGTACATATTCATTTTTGATTCTTACTTTACATTCACATAAAATTTACAAAAGAATCAATCTTTTACTTTGATAAAAATAAAGAGAAAAATCAATAAATAAATCAATAAAATCATCAAAATTTTACTAAACTACTTATTTACCAGAGGAATAATGGACATCAGGACAATGTTCCAGAAGTGAGAAATAAAGTTTAACCTTAGTTTAGCAATGAATTGGATGCCCCAGTAAATGGGCTGTATTTATTCAAGCTATCGAGGGCATGGCGTTCGATATATTATTCGTGTGTTCACCAACAAGTTGATCGAAGTCGATTACCGGTCAGCTCGGGTATCTGTAACCACCAAGATCTTTGTGGACATTCCTTCTCTATTGAAGAAATCCAATACCGCAAAGTACCTGTATTTATCTATCGTCGGCGTGTCGGAAATACGTCCACCGACACGAAAAATCGTCCCTAGGAACTTTCCTTCTTCCCTAGAATTCACTAGAAACCCAGGAAATGACAATGATTTTTACTTTCACGTTCAACAATCTTACGAAGTTCATCGAAATCGAAGTAAATTTCGGGAAAAGACGACCCAGTTAAATTGGTTTTATCTTGAAGTTTGTTCCAAGTTTTTGAATGATTCAAGGTTAGAAGGAACAGATTACATTGATCCTGAGTTTTTCATTAACCCATTATTTTTTATTATGATCAGAGATTGAATTAATAATCGTAACAGTGTAATTGCAAATACGATTCTTTCATATGAATTTAATCATTTTACATTTTATCTGAAGTTGAAGTTAGTTATGCCTTTATCGTATCGTTACAAATATATTTTTAAAATTGTGTTCGAAAGCTTGAAAAAGTAAAGATTTTTTTTGCTGCAAAAGCAAAGTTTCGCTTTTATATTTCCATTATAGCGTATCCTATCAGATATATCTGAATATTTGAAATAAGAGATATTGAGAACAATAAATCTGAACGTGATTGTCGTATCGTATGAATAAAACAGATAGAATTGAAATGAGAAATGATCGGTGAGAAGATTAGATCATCTACCATTTGAAATTGATGACCATGGTACGATCCATAGCAATTGGAGAAAGAAGATAACGTACTAGGATTTGGTTATATTTTATTGCTAAGAAGCGATCTGACCATTTTATAGGATAAGATAATTCTTCCAATCCTTATATACTACGATTTCTAAATATATGATATTCCATCTTCTAAGAAAGAATATTGATAAAATGTATTAATTTAACAATTATATTCCTTTCTTTTTTGAATATATTTCTTCCATTTAAGCTTTTGAATTGAATATTTTAATAATGATATTAATTAAAGCAACAAGTGATTTTTTTTTTATTTGAAATAATGATATGAAAATTTTTTTTTGGCGAAAAATTTTGTCAAAAATCGGTAGCTGCATAAACGGAATCGTGAGAATTTTATTCGTACTCTTTTTAGACGTAAGTGGGTTAAATCTACTTCCATATAACGGCGAAATGTCGAAGACTGTCGATATGCTTCCCAAGCGAAGGTACATACGTATTTATTTTGAACTCCTGTCGAAACGCGTGACACCGTTTGAAAAGAAGACAGAGTTTTCCAATTTAAATTACACCGATTCAGGACAAGTCTAGGAAAAGTTATTTTATTGTATTGTACCTTCCATGCAAAATTCATACGGTATAAAGTTGACGTTCGTTCAATGAAGCATCAAAAATAATAATCTGTAAATTTCCAAAAAAGTATATATATTTATCCAAGACTTCGTACACTAATTTAATTCATTTTCAAATTCCATTTAGTTATAATCGAACTCTCATTTCACGTGTTTATTTCAATTAAATAAAATTTCACACTTAATCAAACTTCTACTCTTATTATAGTTGATCGTCATTTGACGATTCTCAAACTTTTTCCAACATTTTGTACCTGAAAATATAACCATCATATCCTCTTTCCTTTCTACCATTTTCCAAATGATAAATTAATGATAGTAGAGTGGTTTTTTGTGTAATAGCAAAAGGCAGTGAATTATTGTTGATGCTCTTTATTGCGTTAGAATCGTTATATACCATAGAAATGTGAAAAGAGATGAAGAGAAAAGAAAAAAAGGAAGTATGTTTTTATCAGGATATTCAACAAGATGGTCCTTTTATCAGTCTGAACTCTCTTTCACGCAACAATACTCGTATGATATCGTATAAACTCGAACAGTGTTTATTTTAAAGCATCTATTAATCATATTAATTCTACAATACAATCATGAAAACAATTCTATCAAAAATCAACTAGAAGATACTAATTTCTTTTTCTCAATAGTACAGGAATCCGATCTTTCAATAAAATTAAATAAATTTTAAATCTCTATCTAAAATTTCAATGGTATCAAGATATTTTCATTTCGTTTCCCGCTAATTTCTTTTCAATAATCCTTCCATTAATAATTTCTTAATAAAAAAGAACAATTGTTACCTTAAATAAACCGTATCTAATATTTCCACGCTGCTATATTTGGATAATTAACCAAGACACTCGTTTCGATGGATGAACATCCTGAAACACATTTTCCTTGTTTCGAAGAACATCGTATCGTTTAAGAGTTCACGAGAACGAGATCATTCTTTCCGTCGTTTGCATCCATCTTCGAGGAAACTTATTGTTCCCATGGACTGGGTTGCTTACGATGGTTGGGGAGGATTTTTTCGTGGCTTGTTTCCAACCAGATGGCGGGTGAGAAATTTCAGCAATTCCTCCTCGCAGTTAGCAGTTCCCTGCACGTTTCTTACGCGGGGCTGGATCTGAAACGAACCGATGACTGAAGAAACAACTTATTTTTCCGCGAAACTTGCCACCGCGACGTGAGCAAGCTTTTTCTCCTTATTTCTCGGAGGACCTCGTTACGAGTGTCGAGGAAATTTTAGGAAATTCTCAGCGTTGAACCAGACGGAATATTTGAGTGCTCGAAGCTAGGGATATCTCGAGAAATTATTATTCCTTTTTCTTTTTTTTTTTTGATTATTTGATCGATTTAAATAGAAATTATATAAGATAAGAGATAAGAGATCGTTCTCTTTTTTGGTATATTTTGTGATTGAACTGAAAATAATATAAATGTATATTAAATGAAATCGTATCATGGGGTAAAAAGAGTAAATTATATATTACCTTTATTCAAAAATTTGGAAAATAATAATTTTTTTTAATAATAAATTTTTTGTACAATATTCCGATTTATTTATTTATTTATTTTTTTCATTTTTTATTTCCATAAAACACGTCAGTGATTTTCAATTTTTGTGACAGTAGCGCATTCGATGATATCGCGCGACAGCTTCGACGAGTAAAAATGGCGATGCACGCTCATAAAAATAAATCGACGTCTGTTTCAGTGCCGAAGGTGGAGATCGTGGACGAGCACGGGGCAACGGCTGGTGACAAATTTTACAAAGCTGGGAGCACGATAGAATTGAAGTGTGTGGTCAGCAATATACCGCAACCTAGCGGATACGTTACGTGGCGCCATGGATCCCGAACGTTGAATTACGATACTACTCGTGGAGGAATCAGGTGAGCCTCGAATGTACGATTTAATGGTACAGAAATTGATTTCACTGCCGGGAACCGGCTTCAGATATAATTTCATGGCGAAATTTCTGCTATTATCGGGAACCAAAATCGAGATTATGCTATCGGTGAAATTTAACCAGTTAAATTTCGCGTGATCCATGAAAATTCGAAGAATGAGATTATGTTTAACAGAAGTTTGGATTAAGGAATTGATAAAAAGAAAAATTATATGTATTGTAATTGAAATAGGAATTTTTGTTTTCATTTCTTTTCTTTTTTTCTTTTTTTTTTATTATAAATTATTCGTTTAATGTAATTTAAAAAATTGTTATTTAGGTAAAGCAATGTTGTTAATAGAAGAATTATTTTGCGTTGAATATTTTTCTATCTTATATTTTTGCTATTCGTTATCTATATAATATAATACACGATGTCAATTACGAGTTTCAAACGAATGTTAAATTTATATCAAGTGCCTATTGATTATAAAATATTTAATAATACCAGATATATTGAAATACCGGTATATTTAAATTCTGAATATTCAACAAATGAAACCTGAACTTCCATGTTAATCGAGGAAAGTATAATTAATTAAAGTGACAAGAACAGAAAGAATTTCAACTGCTTCGATGAATATATTTCTTTTTATATATATATATATAGCAGGGCATTACTTTTCTCGTTCTATAAATAATAATGAGCAACGACGTTGTTTAATGACGACTAGGAAAAGATTCAAACTCCGTAGGAGTTCTCATTAGTAAGAACTAGACGTTGGTAGTTTTTCACTGAATTACAGACATGGCATAAAGTTTCATTCCAAGATTGGAGCACTTTCAAGGCGTTCTGACCTCATATTGTAAATGTGAATTTCCAGGTTCTTTAGTCGTCGTAGATCGCGAATGCAATTATTAGGATTTGTTCAGAAAACGTACAAGTAGCTTGCATAACTTGAAATATAATCAGAGAAATAAGAACGAAGGTTGCATTGAAATTAACATAAGAAAATTTAACGTGTAATTTAATTCTATTAAGATTTTTTTATCAGTTGAAAATTAACTAGAAAGCAAGTAAAGTAATTATTCTTTAACGTTACGATGCTACGTTTTAATTTGCAAGCGAATTAAATCGCATTAAAAATTAAATGTTTGTCGAAAAATATAATAATTCAATTTTATTTGAAATAAAAAAAAAGTAATAAATAATTTAATATACCTAAACATTTAAATATATTGAATACTAGAAGTTAATAATCATGTGGCGCTAGTATCGCTCACTAATTATAGTGCTAATATAATTAAGATGTAATGCAAAACACAGATATATTAAAAATTGTATAAATTTAGATTTAAAAATCTAATTACAATTCAATTAGAATCTTTTCATTTCGAATCACTTTCAAAGAATTTATATTTACTCGAGGAAAAAAAACGAAGATAAAAGCATCCCAAAATAATTGATCATTGATTCCATCTTTTCAAAATATTTTGATAAAATAAAAAAAAAAATTATTCCTACTATATAACCTATTACACTCTCTCCACCCCCATTTATTTTAAAAAATAAAAACCTGCTCGTTAACATTTCAAAAACATAACCAGCCAAACGTAATCAATTACCCCGACAAAAGAAATTTCCTTCTTCCTTTATCCTTCTCATTATACACCTTCTCATCAAACCTTATTAAAATCTTCCTGAGAAACGTTAACTTCCTCTACGTATAACCAACGTTAGATGCGCGTTATCCTCCCTCACAACCTTTTATTCCACGGTCTTCTTTCCCTTTTTTTAATTAAAATGAACAAGATAGAGGTGAGGAGGGCAGGGTGCAACATCCGACCGCATGGACCGTATTCAGATATGGTTTGCGGGCACTCGAGTAATTTCGTTGGCCGGCCGCCGATAGTTTATGCAGGCTGCATGGGGATTCTAATTGCTCCGATAAAGAATGGAACGTTCGGTGAATTTTGAAAGGCTTTCATTAAAGTTCTCTGAACTGGGGACGGACCGTGTGTGACCTAATTGGTTATAGATATGACAGAATTCATGAATTTTAAATAGCCTTTACGTCCGGGTAACGGCGTCTGGCCCGGGCCCGGCCCCCCTCCTTTCGATCACGCCTCGAATTCGTCGATAAATCGATTTCGGTGCATGTTCCTCGTTAATGCGCTCACTGTCACTGCGGGGGAGGACTTCCTTCTCGTCAATTTCGCGTGTTCACCCAAAAAGGGTTTGACGCCATCCCGGCACAATCGTGGTGATGCTCTATCTGCTGACCTTAATAAGTGTATTTGTTGATCGATTAGGGTAGTTGTTCGTAATATTTCCTTGTTATTTTTAACAGCATCCTCGTATTTGGAGAAATATTATGTTTTTTTTTTTTTTTGAATTTAAGACGATTGAATTCAAAAGTCTTCGTCAAGTAAAAATCTGGAAATTAATTTTCAAATTAGTTTTTTTTTGGTTTAAGAATGTCTATTCTATTAAGAATTTTAAAAAATTTTGATTTCAAATTGTCTGGTAATGATAGTTATCCTTTTGGGTTGAGAAGAATTTAATTTTTCGAAAGTTTCGATCGAATTGTTTGCTTTTACTCGATATCGAGTTGATAATGAATTATTTGAAAAATAATATTAAGAAATTAACTTTTCAATGCAAATAAATTTACAAGTAAATACAATCATATAAATTAAAATTCATGTATTATTACATATAAACGTTCATCGAAACATTCGAATAATTATTTTTAATCCTTTTTAATTTAATCCACTATCTTTGCGCAATTATTATTTGTGTACACACGCAAACGTTAGATTTTATTCGATCTTGCATCTTGTTTATTGTATAAACTTGATCATGATTTATTAAAGTTATCATTATTACGAGATTTCTATTGGAACGATAAACATTTCGATAAATATACTTGCTAATTTCACGTCCAATTATTCAACCAGGTTATTCTGTTAACTTAGAGCTGAAATGGAAAGAGGAAATACGAAGGTGCGAGAGAAATTGCAAACGTTCGTTTCCGCTCGAAATTGTTGATCGGTAAATAAAATACCGAGTTGAGTAGAAGATAAAATTGTTGCTAATGAAAATGCATGTCCTCGACTGTATGATATTGTAAACGCGCAAATTTTCTACCAGCTTGTACGTCGAATAATGTTAGACTGGCGTACCATTTGTATGATCATACGCGAAATCAATATATTTACAATTTTACCTTTGATTTTAATGGATAATTATTGAAATATAATTTGATGTAATTTTGGAAATATTGATGGAAAAAAAAAATTTTTAAATTTAATTAGAGGTACATTTTTTTTTCTGTCTGATTGTATCTCGTTTTAATCGAGTTACGTATCATTCTCCATATTAATTTTTGTAAAAATATTTAAATAAAAACGATCATATAAACGATATTCTTATTGTGATAATAATTTTATATTAATTCAAATTTAACATTAAAAAGTTATTTTTTTATTATGTATGAATTAATATGTACTATTATGGGGATTGAAACAATCGTAATCGTAACGATTTAAAGTTCTTCTGAAAGTGCACATTTTTCATATTATTACTTTAAAAATTAATCTCAAGCAAGCATTCTTTATATATATATATATATATATATATATGTCGTGAAATGAATGAAGTATATGTTCTTTTTTAATTTATTTTCATTAATTTTTTTTTTAAATAACTCTTTTTAAATAAAACCAAAATTTAATATAAAGATAACAAGAAATATATGTTACATGAATTTGCGTTTAAAAAAATTAAGAAAAGTAATAATAGAAATATATAAAATATATATAAAATATTTGAACGAGACCAAAATAAAAACTGTAAAAAAATTAAAAAAGAAAAAAATATGAAATCGAAACCTATCAATTTAATCAACATGATAGCCAATAAAATCGTCAAAAAGAAAAAAATTTCAAAAGATATGAAATTGAAACCTACCAATTTAATCTATTTCGTATGATTGTCAATCAAATCGTCTAAATTATAATTATTATCAAGAAAAATTAAGTTTCAATCAAAGAGAAAAAAAAAAAAATTAAAAAAGAAAAATACTTTCGTTAATTGTAAAATATTTTTTTTATAATTTGTTATACGAACATTTATTATTTTCAAAATTTCCATTCATTTCACGACATTGCTTTTAACGAACTTGGCTCCATACTGACGGACGAATTCTATTTTTCTCATTTCATCGTTCGATGCAAACACGGAACTTATTAACCATTTTGTCTGGATGCACGCGTCGTACACCCATAACTCGATTTAACGTACCGAGTGGAGACCGTTCGGATCCAGATTTGCAATTTATTTGCCGGGCTCTATTCACTTTTAATCCGCCTATGATCAATATCATGCACGCATTCATTTCGAACTTCATTAACGACGCGCGTTCTAATGGTGGACTCTTCGATTTTTTTTAATTTCCACCAACGCTTCCCGTTTTCCAATTGGGAATAATCGCAAATAATACGAATCGACGGCCACATCTACTCTTATTCAATTCAAAATTGAATTCGATTCTTTTACTTTTTTCCAATCGTACGATTCTTTATACGTTCTCTTTCTCTCTCTTTCTCTCTTCTTATTTCTTTTCTAAGAAATTTTTGTCATTGAATTTCAAGTCGTTACTTTACTAATTTCAAGATAAATTTCCATATTAAATGTATTTTTTTATATTTTATCCATTATGTTAATAAAAAATAAGAATTAAATATTAGACGATTGTAAAATGACTGTACTTCGTATTCTTGCCACCAGAGGGACGGACAAATTCGTCTAAAGAGATTAATTTTATTGGTATGATAAAAGATAAATTCAAAATCTTTTTTTTTCATAACAAATCCAATGCTTATAGCCATCATTCGTGATTAACATTTAAGAAATCTTTTTTACGAGTAATTAAAAATATTCATTTATTAACAATTTCACGTTCCAAGATAGAAATGCGTATTTTAATTTCGTTCCATAAC